CCATGAGAGCTTCTCTCTTCACAAACTGTCCCTCAGCATCCAGGAAGTGTCCAGGGTTGAAGGTGTCTGGGGTCTCCCATTCAGTCTTGTCGAACAGCACAGAGGTCAGGATTGGCATCAAGGTCGTACCCTAAAAAACAAGATTCATAACCAACCATTGACAACAACACCCACATTTTAGATACAATCATTTTCAGACTAAATATGATTGTGGGCTACACAAACCTTGGGAATGAAGTAATCACCCAGTGTTGTATCCTTAGCAGCCATTCTGAGTCCATTTAAAGGAACAATGTTTCCCATCCTCATGATCTCGTGGATAACGGCTTCAGTGTAGGGCAGGTTGGGTCTGTCTGCCATACTGGGCTGCCTGTTGTGTCCGATCACTCTGTCTATCTCTGCCTTCACTTTCTCTATAAGTAAAAAGAAATGTCAAGTTATGTTGTTTTCTTGCTGTATTTACAGTTAGCTCAGTGTGGTGCTAGCATGTCACCTACCCTGGATATCAGGGTATTTGATGAGATAAACCAAAGCCCACTGTAACGTGGTGGAGGTGGTCTCTGTTCCAGCCAGGAACAGATCCAGAGAGCACAAAGCCAGATTAGTCTCTGTGAAGCCAAGATCTGAATCCTTGTTCTATTCAGAGATGCAAATAAGATACTGTAGTGAGTGGATGCTCAATATACATGAAGGGCTCCAAAGCGTTAACTTACTTTTTCCATTTCAATAAGGAAAGTGTCAATATAGTCCCGGGGGTCACTGCGGTCCAGGTCCTTCTTGTGGTTCTTTACCTCCAGACTGAGGAAGTCTCGGATGGCGTCAAAATCACTGAACATTTTGTTGTGAGGACCTGGCAAGTGCTTCATCAATGTGGGGAACGACTCATACAGCTACAGTATTAGAAACAAATTGTAAATTAGATACATCCACATAATATTTACCCTTATGTGATCATATTTGGGCACAGACATGGGCTGCACAGACGGTTAACAAGGATTGACATCAAGAATCCTTAAAAAAAAGAAATTATCTGACAATGATTAAACAACATTAAAATGACTGACTTACCGTACCCCATACAGAGCCCTCCAACATTAGAATTTCAGACAAATAATTCAGCATAATCTGGAAGTTGTGGTCGCTGTAGTCAAAGCGTTTACCCATCACCAGCTGGCAAATGATGTTGGACACAGCGTTGTTGAAGAGACCTGCTGGGCTGAAAGGTTGACCTGTAGGAGAGGAGTCCACTGTTTAGACAACGCTATACTCCGAATAATGAGCTGAATCTGTACTCTTTGTGTACACCTTTCTCCTTCTCTATCTCCTCCTGCAGGTGTCGGATCTCCTCACAGATACTCTGCTCCATGGTGTTTTTTCCCACACCAAAGGTACGTAGGGTAGACAAGGCAAATCGTCGCTGTCTCTTCCATGTTTCACCATTGCTTACAAACAGACCGCCTAGATGCGAGCATAAGCAGAGATTTGAGTTAAAGGCCGAAGGGAGGTTATTCCTGAAGACTATGAGATAAGAGAAAGAAAGAGAATTATGCACTTTTGTTTCCAGAGTAAAACCTGTTCGCCATTTCATTGTGAGGCCGATCCACAAAGTTGTCGGCTTGGGACACTAAGGCTTCCTTCACCATCTTGTATCCAGACACAAACACCATAGTGTTACCGCCGAGGCGGACGCTGAACACACTCCCATAACGATCAGCCAGCTGTAAATCAAGAAGTGAACACTGATGATCCCAAAAACACTACCACATACATTCACATTTAAGTTGTTCATACCCTAAACCTATGCATCAGGGAATAAAATGACTACCAGGGCCCTTTCTCATTTAATCAAATCCCCTCCTCGACTCCTCGACTCATCGACTCCTCGACTCCTCAGTCCTCCGGTATTGACCCGGAAATGAATTTCAGTGTGCCATGTTGAAGGACATCTCATTTCTCTAAATGCACTTCGAGGATCGAGCGTCGAGGAGGCTCTCTGGAGGAGCTCTAACCGAGGATACACTGATGGGTCCTCCATGGTCCTCCACGGCTCCTTCGTGGATGCATTTCCGGCAACAGAGATGTTTCAAAGAGTCGTGACGCACGGCCGGACTTATCTCAGCCAATGACATCTCTGCATGCATCCCCTGGATATTATTTTATTAACTGCTTTCATCGCGACGCGATGTTTACAGAGAGAACAGCTGTGAGGTCCGTGCAGAAAGCAGAGCAGTGTGTAAAATATATATCACTCAGTATAACAGGCCTACTCTTTTTATTTGCTTTAGTTTAGTATATCTACAAAGAGTCGATATTTTTCTAAAACCATTTAGTGCTTCACATAATAAAATACACAACGGCTGTAGCCTGTTTTAGGAACTGTATACATGCGTGTGTGTGGTGTAGGTGTGTGTGGTACATTGTGTGCGTAGATGCAGCGGACAGACAGGTCTCAGTTGGTTTGGTGTCCTCTGCTTACTTTTAATACTTGTAAATAAAACTTTTGGCCCGTAATTTATATTCCTCATTGTAGCGATCAGAGAGGGGAGAGGGGGGTTTGTGTGTGTGTGTCCGCATCTGTAGCCTGTTATTGTCTCATTATACCGCACTGTGAATGAATCAAAGTAAATATATAAGTCGTCATGAACACATCTGTCCATCAGACAGAGGGCTGCTGTGCCTCCTGTCATCATTAATGGACGTCTCTTTAAAATGACCGCTCAGAGGAGAGGAGTTCTCATTTCTCTAACCGCCTGCTGCTTCCCCTCCTCTCTCCTCGGTTCCCCTCCTCGGCTCCTCGACTCGCATCTCCTGTGGGCGGGACTAAGTATTGAGGAGGGGAGTTAGAGAAATGAGAAAGGGCCCAGGTTTACGAAGACAATACTTTTTCATCCATGTCTATAATTTGAACACCAGATGTCAGTATCAGCCATTAGTTTCACATCACCTGTAGAGCCCAAATAAACAACCTTCAAGTGGACTAACCAAGATGATTAAAATGGCTTTCAACTTCTTCTACTGCATTGACAGTGCCCACAAACCCCGATGTGAAAGATCTTAACCCTATTGTAAATTCAAAATAAATAGGCTACATCAGACTAAACCATATAATAGATCTCTCAACTTTACCTTGGTGAAATACATGTGTGGATGTTTACTGTCCACACTGAAGAAACTCCCCACAATTGGAAGAGCCATTGGTCCTGGAGGATAATTTGGAGGATTCCTGTGTTTTAGGAAATCGGCTATTATGATAAAAATGAAAATAAACAGAAACAGCCCCTTGAAGTCCAAAGCCGACAAAACATTATAAAGCCACATCCTTAAGGAGAGTTAAACCAACAGCATGAGAAAGGTCCAAGCCTTGCAAGAAGCCAAACTGCACTCCCCTGCACTAAAAACTACCATCAAAACTGAAAAAAACTATTCGGTAATTCAGGCTGTGCTCAAAGTTCATCGAGATAGTGGACCATACAGGCAACAGACACACCTACTTTACTCGGTAAACAAGATATCTGTCATAGTATAAATTATTGCACCTAATGTCACATTATTAAAGTGTTAGCACGCCTTAATAATTTGATGGTAATAACTCATGAGCAAACATATCTGCTAAGCAATAAATAAAGTGAAGCCAAATGATAAAGTGCAGTGGGTAAAAGGCATCTAACTAATTCATTGTGCAGTTGCATGTAAATGAGTAACTACCAGCAGGAACAGGTGCATGCAGACAGTACATAACCAGGTCACTAGGGGAGTAGTGTCTGTTTTGGGTTTTATACATTAATTCGCTTAGTCAACATATTAAACGTAGTTTATCTTCTATTAGCAAGGTGTCAATGTAATATTTTGGTTTGCTTAAAATTGCTATTGTGATGCCTCATTAGGCATTTTATTGCTGCACATTTAACCATCAACAGTGTGTTTTTAGTTTATAAAAATGGATGGTAACGCTTTTGGAACGCTAAAATGTCTTGTTTAGGGTTTGGTTGTACCCAGCTCCACCCTCGTGTTAATTCTAGTTCCAAAAATCAAGATTGCGATGGCTGTAACAATAATAATAATAATAACAATAATAATAATTTGACACAAATAAAAACTCCGGAGAGCCAATGGTCCTGGAGAATAATTTGGAGGATTCCTGTGTTTGACGAACTCTCCTATAATGATAACAAAATACAAGTAAACAGGAAATCCCCCTTGAGGTCAAAACCCAACAAAAATAGTGTAAATAGAGTCAAGCCTAAATATAGAGTGCAGTTGGGATTGTAACGACTGAATGAACACAAGTGGAGGACTCAATAGCACGACTCAGAGACAGAGGATTAGGATGCAAAACATTTCTTTATATCCAAGGTTCGGTACACGGGAGATCAGTCAATGAGGCTAACAAAACAGACGAGGAGTAGACAAGGACCGGGTCAGGACACGAAGCTGGGTCAGGTACACGTGGAATCAGATACTAAGAAAAACACTGCTGGAACGCTAGGAATGACTAAGACGAACTGGCACTGAAGGGAATGTGGATGCAGACTAAGTAGACAGAGGGAGAGATGATAATGGGGCACAGGTGAGGCTAATTAGGGAAGGGAAGCAGGTGGAGTTCAATAAAGGGCAGGAAAGCTGAGACTGAAATGAGAGAGACAACAATGAAAACAGGAACAATAACAAAAGCATCAACATGCTGGCTAAGCCCTTACAGGGATAAAGGTCTTCTTACTGATCGACTATACAGTTGAATGTAAATGAGTGGAAATAGGTTCCAACATTCCTCTACACAATTTAAGACTTGTAGACTGAAAGCAGACCATCAGAGAAAGTGTTGTCTCAGATAAATGTACTGTTCTATACTGTACTGTGTTGAATTGAATCATCGCATTGGGCAGATAAGACTCTTTGAGTTCAAATGAATTCAGATAAAGATCTGATTTCAAAAGAAAAATGTCAATGGATTCCTGAAAGTTTGTCAATGATTCTAAAGATAAGGAGATACGTTACACTTCTTACAATATTTATTTTTTATTATATAACAAACCGGCTTTGGGTCAAGTTATTTAAGTTGACCCCACACAACCATTTCCAACAAAATCCTGACTTCTCTTAATGTTTTAAAACTATGTAAAAGGCAAACTCTTGGGTACAACTAAAATCCTTTATTGAACAGAATAAAACATTTTACAGATTTTTAAGTATAATTTCACAAGTGTATGTATACCAAATTAAAAGCATGTTAATGTATAGGCATTTATTTAGAAATGTTATCTTACTCAAGTTGGCATGTGAGTGAGGTTTAAAGTTTTGTGTATAGGTTCTATGATTTATTTTTGTCAAGGAAAATATTTGCAATATTGTATTGCATAACGTCATGCAACACTTAATAGACAGGTCATCATGAATGTCATATTGTAATGACCATGTCGTTAAATCATTTAAGTTCAAGTAGATAAAAAGCTTGTCAGTGTAGTGATAAATCAAAACTGTATCAAGCAAGTATTGTGAAACAGTAGATTGTTAGTTAATTAGTTAAAAGATCTTCATGCTAAGTGAAAATAATACTAGCAAACCTAGCATGTGTCATTTCACTGTTACATTTGTAGAGGAAACTTCTGTGTAGCTATGCAGTGGGAGTCACCGACTCAGGAAGGAGACACGGTAGGAGCAGTAGCTTTGATGTCAAACACTGGTGGTTTATTTGGAGTTAACGGCCGGAGGATTCACATCACAAGTCCAAGAGTCAGAGGTTCTGACTTCACGGTAGAGTTGCCACGTCAATTCTGGCGAGCCTCTCTCTTGCCAGCCCATCTAACTGGTTTCGCAGAGAGTAAACAACATATTTGAGAAGATAGCCTAAACAGTGTGGGAACACTGAGTCACTTGCGTCGGACACTTATGACCTCGAAGATTTCACCTTGGAGTCCACAAATACAGAGAAGGAAGTGTCCCAGTGTACCCACAACACAGACCATCTGTGACCCAGTATTGACCGGTCACAGAATGGGAACAATAACATTATTGGCTAAGCAGCCTGTGTCCTTAAAGGAGGTAAACAGACATCAAGGGTTGGTCCTGTATGTCACATCTTGGCGTCTATGACAATTATTTCCATAACAACATTAGCAATCTGTTGGACTTAAGACTGTTTTGTGATCCTGAGGTGGAATAGGAGCAAATCAGCGAGGCACAGCTAGCATCCTGAACTGCTGGGGGGAATTGGTGAAACCCAGCACACCGTCCAAGCTGGGCATCTCTCCAGGCACAGGGGAGATGGTGAAGTGCTGGAGGAGAACTGTGAACATAAGGAACAGCTCCATTCTGGCCAGGTGCTCCCCTAAACACACACGTTTACCTGTCGGGAAACAATAGGCAACAGCTTTTAAACTCCAATCTTGATAGCAGGAAATATGTTGGTAGAAATTTGTCTGTAAGCTAGTGGAGGAATATCAAGCAAACCTGCTGAAAACGGTAAGAAGGCGTCTCTTCTGCGAAATTTCCCCTCCGAATCCAAGAAATGCTCCGGATTGAAGGTATCCGGAGTTTCCCACTCATTCTTATCAAACAGCACAGTCGCAAGGATTGTAGTAATAGTTGTTCCCTGGATAAATAAGCATGAAATGTCACGTTGTGTAAAAATAATGGACAAAATTCAACCTATAATATATGGGCGAGTCTGGTAAATAGTTCTTTACTTTGGGTATTGAGTATCCTCCCAGTGTAGCGTCTTTACTGGCCATTTTTGGGAATCCAAGGGGAATGATATTTGCCATCCTTTGAACTTCATGGATGACAGCTTCAGTGTAAGGCATGTTGGGCTTGTCGGCCATGGTGGGCTGACGAGACTGTCCGATCACTGAGTCTATCTCTGCCTGGACTTTCTCTGAGTAAGGAGGCAGAGTCTTTAGAAATGATAACCTTAAACAGCACTAAAAAACTCTGTAATCTCTGTGAGAATACTCTAAATGCCAATGTGATTCAGACAGATACTAACCCTGTATCTCTGGATAGTGCATCATGTACATCAGGGCCCAGCGTAAAGTGGTGGCTGACGTTTCTGTACCGGCCTCTATCAGGTCCAGGGTGCAAACCAGCAGGGTTTCAATGTTGAAGCCAGCCTGGGGATCCTCCTTTTTCTGGCAAAGTGTCAACAACATTACATTGATGTTATTACACGGCTTGTGAATACTCAAATCTGAATACTAAAGAACGCTCTAAACTAAGGATGATGTGCAGTCCTATCAATCCTCAGAAAGAAGTCTGGCCAATTTAATTTCAGCTGTTGCCAAAAAACAGATTTGTCTTCTGTCTGATATCAGAAAAAATTGTGGAATACTTTTTTATATTCATGTTTATGTAATACTGTATCATACTATACTAAATATGTGCAAATATCTTACCTTCTCCATCTCTCCCAGGTAAACATCGATAAAATCACGAGGGTCCTCTGGGTTCCACTCTTCCTGGTGCTTCACTACTTCTGATCTCAGGAAAGCCAAGATCTCCGTGTAGTTCTTTAACACAGTCTGGTGAGGTCCTGGCAGGTACTTCAGCACACCAGGGAAGGCATCATACAGCTGTTGATGGGACAAACTCTCAGATTAGTTATAGGCCCACAGCACAGTTTAGTTAAAGTAGATGAGAAATTACCTGAGTCTGAGGTAAGCCAGCTAACCTAATAGCCTCATTGTCCAAGTCCAGAATCCTGCGGAAGCTTTGATCGCTGTACTCAAAGCGATGTCCGAAGAGCACGGAGGAGATGATGTTACACACTCCATTCGTTATGATGTAATGGGGGTTAAATGGCCTTCCTGGGAATATGTTGAATTAAAGTAATGATATATCATGTTAGGATATAAAATCACTCTACATAGCAATCTCTACTTGCCTTGTTCCTCTTTGAAAGCTTCACAGATGTAGGTGTTTTCCACCTCAATGTATTTTTCCAGGGACTTCTGGCCCTCTCCAAAGTAACGCAGGTGAGTGTTGGCAAACTTCCTTTGCTTTTTCCACAAGTACCCATTGCTCAAAGCTATACCTGTGGGACAGTTGTAGCAAATTAACAAAGCAAACAGGCAATTCACTGCCTTTACAGATTTTAGATATCACTTCTGAGCACCTTTCTTGAAAATAAACGCTTTCTTTCACTCCCTAATCTGGTGTTGTGCAGTGTTGTTGTTGCACAGAGGGGAGAGTCTATTCTGCATGGACCACAGACTTTGTCCCATGTGAGTTGGCTTACTGGGCTATGACTTTTGGTTAAATATTTTGATACTGGGTGCTATATAAATAAACTTGCCTTGCCTTGCCTTGCCTAAAGAGATTAAGTTCTGCCCTGGAGAAGGCAAACCACTACTGCAATAATTTTGCGTGCTATTAAATATTCAGGTTTTCTCACTCTCGTTCAGGTATACTCACCAATCCCCTTAAAGACAGCATGGAAAAGAGGTAAAATAGGTCTATCAATAAAGCTGTCCAGCTGGATAACAAGAGCCTCTTTGACCATCTTGTACCCGGAAACAAACACCATCCTCTGGCTGCCTATCCTCAAGCTGAACACTGGACCATACTCCTGAGAGAGCTGCATTCAAAAACAAATGCATTTTTTTAGTTGCAAGCTTTTATTGTTTATTTATTGTTATTTCCAGCCCATAGTGTTGCAAATGCTTATTTATGAAAGGCACGTTGCCTGTAGGATATTAAAGATCAACTTTTGTCCTCTAATTTGTTCACCTTACCTTCTCCATTGCTTTGAAGTCAAATCCTATCAAGATATTTCCTAGAAAAGGCGCAGCCCAGGGTCCAGGGGGAAAGCTGTTTGGTCTCCAGTTTCTGATCACATCTGTCAGGAGTAACACTATAAAACTGATGAACAGCCAACTAGTGAAGTCCATACACTCAAAAAGGGCTTCAAAAATCATGATGCAAATATTTAAATGGACCCTCTGTAAACTCAGTTTGCTCCTGCAGGCATGATCCGTCTCATGTTATTTGGCTGCGGGTTGTAGGCAGAGGGGAAAAAAGTCCCAACACGGAAATGTTACGTAACACTGAGTGTCTCTCTGGACATCTGAGTGAAAAACAAGTTGGAGTTTAAACTCTTCCAGCGGGAGGATTGTGTTTGCACTGTGTGTTGTGGACAAAAGGGGGACTTTTAATAGTTTGGGCGAAAACTAAAAGGTAGCATGGGGTACAGGAATTCGTTTTGGTTTCAAGACCCTGGTTCGCGGAGGATACCATAAAAGTTCTAGAAAGACAAGGTAAACTTAACTATGTGCATTTAAAAACAAGAGGATAGTTTCAGCGAAAACTAAAAGGTACATGGGGTCAGATTAGCATGAAACACTTGAAATAACTAAAGGACAAGTTAAACAAGAAAGTAGAAAGAAAGGGAGGTGATAGAAAACTATTTCTGCAAAAAAGGTTAGCAATGATTGAGAGTCAGACCTAAACATTTCAGATGTGTGTATCTCACACTGCACTGTAACTTTTATCCATGTATGTTTGCAAGTACACAATCCCAAAGGTCCAAGAGACACACGTGATAAAGAATTTCTTTATTTAGCTTTTTGTTTGTTTTCAAAAATTAGATGTCCGTGCCCATTGCTTATAATCCGTCAAACCGATAATTAAACTATGAACTACAACATGTAAACCAAATCTGCAAGTTGCTTTTTATAATGCAATACAATACAACATTAATATGACTCATTACATATTTTATTTCAACAGATTACACATAATTGTATTAGGTATCAAATCAGAATTATTTACGATAAGATAAAGATAAGATAAAGCTTTATTGTCTCCCTTAGGAGAAATTTGTCTTGGGCATCGAGATAATACACATAAAACATTCAGGTCAATCAGTCATAGATACAGAACAGAGATCACATATCACATGGCAAAGAAACAAACAAGAAACATACAGGTACAGCACTTTCCCTATTGCACATACATAATCAAATTACACTTTCCCTATTGCATTCATACATAATCAAATATTGCACGTTCCCTACTGTATTCATACACAAATCAATATTGCACTTTCCCTATTGCACATATGCATAGTGTCCGTCAAATTGCACATATCCCTATTGTGTCCATACCTATTTACACATAATGCACTTCCCCTATTTAACCTTCTCGATTGCACAAACTACACTGTAAACATTGCACCTCCCAACAACTCCTAACACAGCATAATCACAATTGTTTCTGACTGTTCAGCAGCTTGATTGACAGCGGAACAAAGGAAAACTTATACCTGTTCAATTTACAGTTTGGTAATCTATACCTTCTGCCCTCCGAGGGCAGCAACTCAAACTCTCTATACAGGATGTGTTTGGGGTCGCATGTGATTACGGCCTTGCTTTCTCACCATCTCCTCAAATATATCCTGAAGAGAGGATGGTGGAAGCATGCCAATTATTTTTCCAGCCCTTTTTATCAAGCTCTGGAGTTGTGATTTAGATTTAACTGACAAGTTACCAAACCATGTTGTGATGCCATAACGAATAATAGACTCAATTGCTGCCCTGTAGAACATTAGCATGATACATGTATCCACTCCATGAACCCTGAGCCGACGCAGAAAATGCAGGCACTGGTTTATCTTTGAGCATACCTGATCCACCTGATGGGCCCAGCCTAACTGAGCATCAAAATAAATCCCCAAATATTTAAAACGTGAAACCTGCTCAACTCCCTCCCTGTTGATAAGGACGGGGCTGCTGACTCGGGGTCAAAGATCATTTCCTTTAATTGCCAAGTAAGTTTTCACATACATGAAATGTACATCATACATAGAGAGAGAGAGAGAGAGAGAGAGAGAGAGAGAGAGAGAGAGAGAGAGAGAGAGAGAGAGAGAGAGAGATAGAGAGAGAGAGAGAGAGAGAGAGAGAGAGAGAGAGAGAGAGAGAGAGAGAGAGAGAAAAGCAAGTATAGAATTATTATAAAAATGATTATAACATTTAAACAAATTCACAAAAACACTTAAATATATATATAAAAAATATATTTACGATATCACATTTTACTGTGGAATATACAGTATGTAAAAGTTGAAGAGCTGTGCAGTTTTAAAGTGGTTGCATTGTGCACATCTGTGCAAAATACTCATAAACATTGCCAAAATAAAACAGAAGAAGAGAGATATTGGCTTGTTTTGCACTTTGCACATTGGTTCCCCTAAATCAGTTGTCTTTTTGAGTAAATCCTTTAAGGTTGTTATTGTAATCTACTGTCATCAATATGTAATAATACCCATTCCAGTTTGAGAAAGAAGTATTTCCTCATTTCTTTTTACTCCACATTTTATTTTTTCTGCAACTTGTTTACATAAATAATAGTGAGATTGAGTTTGTGTTCTGATTCAGACCGCTGTGTTCATGTTCACACTGTGGTTTCAGAGGTTCAGGTGAGAAAAACACTTCCATGAGTGAATACCATGCAGTGAGTCAGTGCTGTTGATCTAGCTGCTTGTTTGATGTGTTGAATACAATTTGTCTAGCAGAAACCAAAACTTTAATCCTTTGATATGTTTTATATGTCAGTTCTTAAAATGAGCAAAGAAGAAGCTTGAGGTCTCTTTTATCTTCACATCTGGGTTTTCCATGTCAAGCGTTTTAGGTAAGAGATGGAAAAAATCATGTAAGCTTGAGAAAGTCTGTCTCACAGTCAACACCCTGGCACTCCGAAGGACTTTATACAGAAGCAAACACCTTAATGAGAAAAGTTGGGGTGATTGTTTTAATGTTTTTTAATGCGCAGTGACCTCAGGATCAAAGTGTAAGTTTATTTTACAAACCTAACTACCTAAAAGGCATATCATCTTTAAGTTCTGTCAGTTCAGGGACAGCAGTGAATTATACTTAAATAAACATGAATTGACTGTGTATCTTGCCATTCATAAGCACATTTTAAATAACTATAAAAAGAAAGGGTCTACACTAACAGAAACAAAGCTGATGAGGTTGCTGTTAAACTACGGTCATCATCTTTTTTCAAAGTAGAAATTGAGGTCATGCAGTGAGTTACATGTTGAGTTCATCACCTATGTTATCTGCCATCAGCAGCACGTTTCATTGCAGGTTCTCAGCAATCTGCCATTTAACGTCATCTGAACCTTTGTGGGGATGAAAACAGGTAACCAAAGTAGAGCATCAAAGTACTGAAGCTACTGTTCAAAGTTTCTGGGTTTAGCAAAACACCACCAAACTAGGTCAGTGGCCTCTTTAAGATGTTTCTTTCAACACAGGATAGAACACTTTATTCAGAAGCATCGCTCAAAGCAAGTCATCTGAGGAAGACTACATGAACGCTCAAAATATGTTGGATGTATCCTGATGAGAAAACCCTGAAGGCACACAGACGCCATTCAATTCTGGTGAGTTCTTTCTTACCCTATCAACTAATGTAACTTGAAGGTGTTTAGGGTTTCTGATAGAGACGCAAATGTACAAAAAAAAGGTAGAAAGTCAACTGGATTGAACATGCATAGCTGTTTGTCTTGAAACAACATTATAACATTGATCTGGCTACTAATTATTACATTACATTACATTACATTGCATTTAGCTGACGCTTTTATCCAAAGCGACTTACAATAAGTACATTCGACCAGGAAGACACAACCTTGAAGAAAACAGAATCATATAAGTACATCAGGTTTCATAGAGCCAAACATTTCAAGTGCTACTCAACTGGCTTTAGGTAAGCCAGCCCTTTATTAGTATAAAAGTGCTTCGTTAATAGTTCTAACGCTCGAAGTGGAGTCGAAAGAGATGAGTTTTCAGTTTGCGCCGGAAGATGTGCAAGCTATCTGCCGTCCTGATGTCAATGGGGAGCTCTTTCCACCATCTTGGAGCCAGGACAGCAAACCCACGTGTTTTCGCCGATGGGAACTTTATATTTAATTATGTATCTAATATATCATTCCAATCACTTTCAGTATTTCACTATTTCACTATTTACTATTTTTCCTTTTGTATTTACTTGCGCTATTTCTTTCTGTTTATCTGTTTTATTGTGTTGCACTGTTGGAGGAGCCAGTGCCCTAAGATTTTCTTTGTCATAACTACATTGTAGCTATGCACGTATAACTAATAAAAGCCTTGAACCTTGTTTTAGAAACGTCTTTAAAAATCTAAAGTTCAAGTTTGACGTAATGTATTTTAATCTCAGTCAGATTGCAGAATTACACAGGATATACCTTTTGGTTTTATCTACCATGGTGCGTGTGTCAAACACTGTCTCTTCGTCATATCAGCCAGAAGATCCTCTGCACACAGACTGCTGAATGGCTAAGGGTACGTTTTAAAGGTCACTTGTATTTACGGAAATTCCCACTGACTGATTTTTACCAAAAAAGTATTTGGTGACTAATAATATTAACAACTTTTGTTTACAGCTGCTGAGTCTAAATGAGAATAAATGCTGCAATGAATCTCTCCTCCATGCTTTGGAGGATCCTCATTGTTCTTCTCTGTTTTTCCATTAAGCGTGAGTATTACAGTTAAAATACATCCATCAATGCTATCACTATTGACTTGTTAATGTCTGTTAGAGCGCACTCCCTGATTTAGTCAGAGGTAGCACAACTTGGTAGCTTTTGTGGTTTCGTCCTTGCAGCTCTGCTGAGCTTAAAAGAATTTAGATATATTTTGCATTACAATTAAATAATCATTGGAAGACACACTTCTTTGTCTTAAACCTTTCCTGGGATGTGTTATTATAAAGAGAAAGCAGAAAGAAAGAATCACATTCCTGCATTTTAGAATTTAAACATGTTTACTGTACTGCAGGGTTTAAATGAACTAACACTTACTTTTTAAACTTCACATAATTGCTTGCTTTGAATAGTACTGCTATGAAAACCTCTGCGTCTGTGTTTTTTGAACATGTTTTCCTTTGCTCCCAGTTTACAGCTTGCAAATTAAACGCCGGGGCTTACTGACAGTGAAACCAGCTAAACTCTTCCTCATCGGCTCAAACCTGACAGTGTATTGCCACCCTGAAAAATGTAAAAATGGGTACGAATGTTAGACATCATTGTATAGCCTACAATACAATATGACTTATTGTCTTCTGTACATGCATCTTTGTATACAGTTAATTATGTAGAAAGTATTGAAATGCTGTTGTGTTATTGTCCTCCAGTTTCAAATTGTCCCTGGAGGTGAATGGCGAGACTGTGACTTCTTCCGAGGAAGTCAACTGCCCAGCGATATTCAATCTGATCAATTTCCGGACGCCATTTTCTTCAGTGATCTGCATGCTGAAGGGCCCAGACTCTTCTAAGATTGTCGATGGAGGGGACCTTTATGGCGGGCGTATGTACAGTTGTCTCTGACGTCTACAGTACATTCATGTATGATGTCTGAATTACAGCAATATTTTCTAAAGACAATATCTGTCCAACTCACTTAAGCTGCATTCACATGACTAGCAATTTTCTCTTTACTCACTGCAAAGTTTTGCATTTGGTGCCTTGCGCTGAAAAGAGGAATTAAGGTAGACACGTTCAAGCTACTATATGTCAAACTCCTATTTACTTATATTTTAACCCTTTTAATGTGCGACTGTCATAACAAAATAATTAAATTAACATGTCCAAATATATAAAGTACCAAAAAGGTGAAAAAAGCATAAAAACGTATTTTCAAAATGTTAAATTCAAATTATCTTTCCATCTTACATTTTGAAGAAACTACAACTTTGATATGATTTGGATTAATATGAAACTCCAATTATTCTTGAAAAAGTAAGGACATATTTTTTGCATTTCCAAGTAGGCACACAAAAATTACAGTGCTTTTAAAAATATGTTTCTATTTTGTTTCCCATCCCCTGTACTTGAAGTCCCTCCAGATAAACCTGAAAACATAATATGTGAAACGACAAGAAGCTCAGATAATATAATATGCTCCTGGGAGAAAGGACAGAAAACACACGTCATTACCACCTACAACATTTCACTAAACAGGTATGGTGTTATTTTTTTAAGCCAAATTCATCTTTACCAGGTTTTCTTGGAGGTTAGTTTATGCTTTTGACAACAGCTTATTTTTAATTGGTATTTGAATTGTTGATTTTGTATTTGCAGGGGAAATGGGACCCGGCTAGAGTTGTATCAGATCCAAGATGATGAACAAAGGGTTAGCGCTAACCCCCTCACCATATCCAGAGCGGTGATAGAAGAAAACATTAAATACAAGTTGATTATCACTGCTTACAATCACTTTGGAGAATCTCAATCTGATCCATTCATCTTCTGTTTAAAGGATATCGGTAAGACATCATTTCTGCAGTGTTGGGGGGGTTACTTAAAAAAAAATCTCAGTTACAATATAGTTACATGTAAAAACAAAAATCATTAACCTAATCTTAGTTTCACAAAATAAAAGAATTGTGAACAAATTACTTTCTGTTACTTTTGGATTACCTTAATATTAATTGCCAGGTGTCGAGGTATTTGGCTGAGCTTGCAGCATGACGCCTTGGATCATCTGAGCCACGTGTGTGCACGCTTCTTCTATATTCTTTTGTATTGCAGTTATACCAGAGACCCCTCGTATCGTGCACATAGAGTTTGAGAATAACTCCCAAGCAGCCGTGTTGCAATGGGAAACCTCCAACTCCTCCGAGCATCTCAGATCTGATGTCAGGCTCTGCACAGATAAGGCCCCCTCCTGGGTAAAGTCAAACTACAAGGCAGAGGGAGCAGATCTCAACGAGGGTCTGATTCGAGTGTCTGGCCTGAGGCCTCTGACTGATTATGAGTTCCAGATGAGAACATGCATGCCGTATACCAACACGCCCAGGTTAAACTGCAGCAAATGGAGCGCATCTGTGAGGGGGAGAAGTCCTGGAAAAGGTTAAGCTCACAAATATTACTAACCTGTTTTTTTTAATATGATGCACTCAAATAAACCTGTGATTAAATGTATCTTCAGGTCCGTCTCAGCAGCTGCATGTGTGGAGGACGTTCGACAGCCCGGGGTCAAATGTGACTGTTTTGTGGAAGGTAATGTAATCATATTATCCATTTTGTAATGCAAACATGCATTCATAGCGAAAGCCAGACATGAATCAATAATTAATTTTGTCAACTTAAAACCAGTTGCTGTCTATAGTGATGAGTGGTTCAACAAATGCCCAAAACACCATATTTGCATAACAATTACTGATCTTAAATGCATGCATGCATGGATACAATGCAGTTTCTAAGCAGTGGGAACTCCCACAACCACAATCTCAGGGGATTTAGAAAAATGTGTGACCTGATTATGATTCCGGGTCCACTTGTTTCTGTATCTTCTCACCAACCCTGTCCTGAACCCCACTCACCGAAAACTAACTTCAGTGTTATGAATGCATTTTATTGTAAAATTCCTTTTCACAGATAACAAAACTTTATGATTTTGTGACCTTTGGACTAGGCCAGACTTTCTGATTCCAGTTTTAATACAGAGCTTCTGGTAGCTATGGGTTCATATTCATAATCAAATATAGAACTTTCTGCATTAAAATGTCCAAAAATGACAACATGCATTTTATATATTTTGTTGACTTGTGTACATTAATCAAAATTGTATCCTAGAGAAATATTAATCCATATAATGGGCCTTTTATAAATGGCCTGCAATGGCGATGTTTCTGCACATGCGTCAGAGTTGTGGTTTTTAGCCAGCAGTGGTATATTGACTTTATATCCAGTTTTGAGGCCGTGGTTTCTCACACTATAATCTGTTACCTAACTCCTGGAAAGGAACTGAATTACCATATTTCCCAAACTTCTTCCCCAGCCTCCATCTCCAGAGGATTACAGTGGAGTGGTGCAACAGTACAAGATCTTTCTGGGAAATGAGCAGAAACAGCTCTCTGGACCTGCATCGAGTTCAGTTCCTGTTCCAGCAGAAATCAAGACAATAAGCATCAGTGCCATCACCTCGTATGGGACGTCTCCGCCGGCCGTTGTACCACTCAAACATTCAGGTACACAAATATTTTCACAGAAGATAGAACCCAGAAAAACATGTTTGAGTTTAATGATGATAGGAAAAAAAAGCCCCATAAAGTTCAATAATGTATTGTGTTTTAGGTGGTTTTGCACCTGTTTTAAGAGAGTTGGCTCCTGCAGCTAACAGCAGTGCCGTGCTCGTCTCCTGGACGTGGACGGACGATAAACACTGGTCCACATCTGACCCTCTGCACTATGTTGTACAATGGACAACTGTACCTGGAGCACAGATGAAGTGGCAACGAGTGTCTAAAGATCAAAACAACACTTTAATTACAGGTACACAATACATCACACATGGTGACAAAACCTGGGCCCTTTCTCATTTCTCTAACTCCCCTCCTGGACTCCTATCCTCGATACTTAGTCCCGCCCACAGGAGATGCGAGCGGAGGAGCCGAGGAGGGGAACCGAGGAGAGAGGAGGGGAAGCAGCAGGTGGTTAGAGAAATGAGAACTCCTCTCCTCTGAGCGGTCATTTTAAAGAGACGTCCATTAATGATGACAGGAGGCACAGCAGCCCTCTGTCTGATGGACAGATGTGTTCATGATGACTTATATATTTACTTTGATTAATTCCCAGTGCGGTATAATGAGACAATAACAGGCTACAGATGCGGACACACACACACACACACACACACACACACACACACACACACACACACACACACACACACACACACACACATATATATATATATGTATATATTTATATAAATATATACAATTTCAGAATCAAACAGAGCACTCTCAGTCATAGTAACGTAACACTATCAGAGACTGGATATATCCCCCCTCTCCCCTCTGGTCGCTACAATGAGGAAAATAAATTACGGGCCAAAAGTTTTATTTACAAGTATTAAAAGTAAGCAGAGGACACCAAACCAACTGGGACCTGTCTGTCCGCTGCATCTACGCACACACTGTACCACACACACCTACACACGCACATACAGCTCCTAAAACAGGCTACAGCCGTTGTGTGTTTTATTGTGAAGCACTAAATGGTTTTAGAAAAATATCGACTCTTTGTTTGTAGATATCTACTCAACTAAAGCAAATAAAGAGAGTATGCCTGCTATACGAGTGATATATATTATACACACTGCTCTGCTTTCTGCATGGACCTCACAGCTGTTCTCACTGTAAACATCGCGTCGCGATGAAAGCAGTTCATAAAATAATATCCAGGGGATGCATGCAGAGCTGTCATTGGCTGAGATAAGTCCGGCCGTGCGTCACGACTCTTTTAAACATCTCTGTTGCCGGAAATGCATCCACGAAGGAGCCGTGGAGGACCATGGAGGACCCATCAGTGTATCCTCGGTTATAGCTCCTCCAGAGAGCTTCCTCGACGCTCGATCCTCGGTCCTCGAAGTGCATTAAGAGAAATGAGATGTCCTTCAACCTCGCGCGCTGAAATTATTTTCCGGGTCACTACCGGAGGACCGAGGAGTCGAGGAGGGGGATTTGATGAAATGAGAAAGGGCCCCGGCATTGCATGATCACATAAAAAGAAAACATGGCACCAAATGTTTGGAAATGTCTTCAGCTGAGATGAAGCAGCGTCCTCTTGTGGGCAGTTGGAGGATTACATTTGTTTAAAGCTCTTAATACAGATGAGTTTACATGCATGAGCAAAGTTAATGTTTGTAGACTGTGTAGAGCATAGTGTACTCATGGTGAGATAGTTTATTTCTCCTGTTTTGTTTCAGCTCTGAGAGCAGGTGTGCGGTACAACGTCTCTCTGTACGTTGTGACCAGCAGAGGAGTCAGCGCTCCATCATCCAGGCTGGTCTACTCCAAAGAACAGAGTAAGAGTCATAGCCTTGTGCTTCACCTATAAACAAAAAAAGCTCCTCTCTTGTCCTTAGATGACAAAAAAGTCTGCGTAAACAAATACTTACAAATCTGTAATAATATTCTTTAAACTGTTCAGAACCTTTTTAAGGCATCTTAAAGTGAAAACTACAATTTTGAAACCAGGGCTCTAGATCAAAAGCTTGATATGATAGTATGGCATGATTTTACGCTGTAATGGTGGGTTTAATGGGTTTCAATAGGGACATTTTTAAGGGGCTGGACAAATTAAAAATGTAAAAATATCCCTAGTGAGGCACAAGGGGATTAAGTTGAGAATATTTCATCACCCAAACAGTTGGGAATACCTTTATTAGTCCCACAGAGGGGACATTTATATTGTTACAGCAGAAAAGAGTCAAAGACCGCTTAATGTAAGCATGCATAAAACAAATTGTAATAAAAAAGTTACACATTTTGTAAAAATACACATTCTGTAACAGTTCTCAGGATTTAGAACAGAATTGATCAGAATCAGAAACAGGTTTATTGCCAAGTAGGTTTACTCATACAAGGAATTTGCTTTGATGTGAATGGCTCATATGTAAACACAGAAAGAGAAAGGAAAATGAAAGATTTAATTTTAAGTAAAAAATGTATATACCAAATATAAATATACAAAAAACTAAGTACGGTATAACAGGACAAAACACTCAGAACTAAAATATATATATGAAGTATTGGGATTATATTCCCATCTCCAGCATTATCCTCTCTCTGTCCCACTGTCTGTGTTTTAGAGCCGGTTTCTGGACCCAACCTGTCAGTTCTGGTCCACAAGTCCCGGCGGGTCCACATCCAGTGGGACGAGCTTCCTGTGGACCAGCAGAGAGGCTTCATCACACACTACACCGTCTATCTGCAGACACTCTACTCCAGCAACACTAAACTCAGCGGTGAGCTTATTTAAATGAAAATGGCTGAAACTATTGATTGATTAAACAACTAGTTGATTGACAGAAAATTCAGCAGGTGCCATTTTTAAATCGGAAGATTGTTTTTATAATTTCTTTCAATCAGAAATGAGTTTTCAAGAAAGCTGCTTTTCTTTGTCTTTTTTTTGTTTATTTTTAAGACTGTAAATTGGAAAAACCAAATGACGCTAAGACGTCCCCTTCTGCTCTAAGACATTGTGAAACACACTTGAATCATTAATGAAAATAGATTTTGCAGCACTACCTGTGAACATTGTTAGGATGATCCTAATTATGAATATACAACTTTTTCTCAATTAAAAAAAAAAAAATTTCACATATTTATTTCAGTACTGTAAACACAACAAGATTCAATTCACCTGCATTGTATTGATATTTTTAAATCTGATTTATCCTGTAATAGTAAAACATTATTTGCATGGCACTGTGGGTAAGTTATGTGATCAGACGGCTCGGAGGAAACACAACTCTGCTGTGCTTGTTTCCTGTTCTTGTAGATGAGTAGGACTTATCTTTATGCTCTGCTAACCCTATGTCGTGTGTACTTTACCTGCCTGTACATATGCAGATGTGTGGGAAATACCTATATATGTGCAGTAGTATGCATATTTTGTGTGTCACAAGCCACAGTGACATAATGGAAAGTTTGCAGGCAGCATTCCACTGATACTCCCCTCCCACAATGCATCAGCAGTCAGCAGGGTATTTCACCTCTCACTTCCAGTAATGTGGTGAATGTCACACAGCAAGTTTGACTCTTTTGAGAATTATTCATTATTAAAACAGCAAACATCCACATACAATATAGAACTTGTGGAGAAAATCTGTTGTTCTAGCATTGATCCATCAGAAACCCCTCACCATACATAAACATGTGCACGTTTTATCTCAGAAAGCTTGGCTTGGAGTTATTTCCTCTAGGCTTTTTGTTGGACCAAACTGATTGTACATTTGAATTTATATTTGGCTAGGACAAAGGAATGTATGTATTAACTAGTGAGAACATTCAAACCCTGGTTGTCTTGTTCACAGTGCTTTCAGTGAATCATAGTTTTCTAGAACTGGCTTTTACCACGAACAGGAAGTCGTGTGGCTACATGCACACATGCAAACATAAGGCTGTTACTAACCAGCCTGCCTCATACACTATTTCCAGAACCTCAATGTTAAAACACCTGAGAGCTTACTCTTGTTGACATATACATGTTGTATATGTACTGTATATAATGGAATTCTTTAAGTCATTTCATCTGATGTTTTACGTCATTACTATCTTATTCTCATCTTATTTCCTTTTTTGCAGTTACTTATGTCTCACATAAATGACCACATAATAATAAATGATCAGAATCCAGTGCTAGTCTGAAGATAGCAGTTCTGATGGCACTTGTTCACCATGGCCTTTGACCCCTAACCCATCACAGTCCCCCTGCCTCCACTCCTACTGCTATTTATTTAATTTTTTACTTTATTATTTGCCCCTTTTGTTTGTTTGTTTATTTGTTTGTTTGTTTGTTCACCATGTAAAGCAGCCTTGGGTCCCTCGAAAGGCGCTATACAAATGTAATCTATTATTATTATTATTACACTGACAAAAATATAGAAATAAGCCATTAAAGACATACTCTTGGGTTGTCCTGCAAACTTAGGTATTTCGCAGTACATTTCTAAAGCTGTGCCAGAATAGACTGGGCTCATTTCAGACAGAGGTTAGTATTAGAAAAATATAGCACTTTTTGAACATTAGAGCATGTAAACATGTTTCAGTAGAGGCACAAAATACAAATATGAACCTGAAAATGAGAACAAAATGTCCATATTACCATATTACATTACAATTAGGGCTGTCAAACGATTACAATTTTTAATCAGATTAATCACAGTTTAAAAATTAATTAATCATGATTAAACACCATTCGAACTATGTCCAAAATATGCCATGTCTTTATGTATATTGTTGTGGGAATGGAAAGATACATGAAAGAAGGCGGATATATCTATTTCACATATTATAGTATGTATGTTTATTATAAAAAAATTCTGTGTGTCAAAATGAAAGACAGCCCACACACCTATCAATCATCAAACCGTGGGGTCTTATTTCATTACGTGTTGATTTCTATCAACGGGGGAGTACTTCAGGAAAGTCGACGGGGGGGCTAGTGGAGTACTTGGTGATCACAGAGTGTGAACGTTGTGATCAGCTGTTTTAGCGCAGTTCTCCAGTGAAGGGGGGGAGTCTCCCTCCGCAGCCGGTTGGGGTAGTTTTGGCACAGTGCCGTTGTACAGAGTACAGACCAGTCTATGGTACAGAGTACAGACCAGTCTATGGTACAGACCGACGTTAACAGTAGCCCTGTCTGTGCACACAGAGACCGACTGTGTCGTCCGGTGATCTAACCGCCTTCTGGAAAAGCTTCACAAGTACGTCGGTACGCAAATGCGCTTTGTGACACAAGTGACGGTAAGCATTTCAGATTGTTACCACGCATGCGTAACTGCGTACCAGTTATGTGCACCTACTACAGCAAAAGTATTCTCCGTCGGGACTTCCTGCAACAACACCACGCCGTTACCTTGATTCTGATTGGCCAGAAGACATTATCAAAGATGTTCTATTGAGAAGACGATCACTACGTGACAAAAGTTTTCAAAACCGTTTCTGGTCTTCGGTATTTCCAGACAAGTGGCTGCTGAAATCAATCTTACTAACTGCTGTCTGTGCAATTTACTCCGCGAGTTGGCGGACTTTATTTTGCTTATTTTAACATCATTTTTCATGGTGGGGCTAAGACATTTCTTGGTATGGTTGTAGCCTACCCCATTCATACCCTGACGCTGCCACTGGTGGGATGTATGGGGCGGGCCATTCTGCACATGCGTTAAATGCGTTAAATATTTTTAACGCAATTAATTCAAACAATTAATTACCGCCGTTAACGCGATAATTTTGACAGCATTAATTACAATACATTGCATTTAGCTGACGCTTACAATAAGTACATTCGACCAGGAAGACACAACCTTGAAGAAAACAGAATTATATAAGTACATCAGGTTTCATAGAGCCAAACATTTCAAGTGCTACTCAACTGGCTATATATAAGCCAGTCCTTTATTAGTATATAAGTGCTCTGTTAGCAGTTCTTGGTTAGTAATTATATCGCTCGAAGTGGAGTCGAATGAGATGAGTTTTCAGTCTGCGCCGGAAAATGTGCAGGCTTTCTGCTGTCCTGATTTCAATGGGGAGCTCATTCCACCATTTTGGAGCCAGGATAGCAAACCCACGTGTTTTTGCTGATGGGAACTTGGGTCCCACTCGCAGCGAGGGTGCAGCGAGTCGTTTGGCTTTACCATATGGTATTACCATATGGTATTACCATAATAAAGGAAATGCAGCAATGGAGACAGGACTCAGAGACACGGGGAGAGCTCGAACTTTGATGGCAAATACTGATGGTTTATTTGGAGCTTCGGCGGGAGAATTCACAAGACATGTGCTGAGCCACGAATTGACACAAAGGATGCCAAACCAATTCTGAAGATCTCTACCCCAGACCAATGCATTTAGCTAGTTCTGAGAGAATAATCAACATTGTGCATAACAAGATAAAGCACTATAACACCTCTATCAGCTGACGCAAACAGGCAGGAACAGGGAGACAAAGCACTGAGAGCACAGCAGCCCAATGTTGCAGGCCTGTGCTCAGTGAGGGCAGTGCCAACAGATAAACTGGGTCAAAGTTATGGGCCCAGGAAAATATTTCCCCAACAGAAACCATGACTGTGTTTTATCCAGTGACGGTGTCTGGCTCCGGCCCCAGGATTCTGTGGCTGGACTGTCCCGAAGGAGCTCTGGCTGTGCAGCTCTCTGCCTCCACCTCCGCAGGAGAAGGGCAGCCGGGGAACCGGATCTTCTCCCAGCCTGAATCCCCTGCAGGTCAGTGTCCTGATGCCATCCTGTACCCCGATCTATGCCTGGTCTGGGAAGTCATTTCCCAGTATCTGTAATTCCCTTTCATTTTAAATATAGGCAAGAAATCATCATGCGGTAGGATTAACGAAACTTTGTGTCTCAACTCACTGAAAATGTACTGTGTCTTTTTCTTCTTCTTTCCTTTAGCTGGCCTGGTGATTGGGATCGTTTTTGTCATAACCCTCTTTCTGGCGATCGTAGCCAACCTGATGTGCTGGAGTTGTGTGAGAAAAAGGTATTAATAAGCATTACTTATGTACTATTGTTTAATGGAAAGAAAACAATCATAACAACAGACATCATCTAACAATAGTGAGAGTATTCTGAGGATCAACAACACTGCTTTCTTAATTCACTGCAAATGATTTTGAATGCGCATAGGTTTTGTTTTACTAGTAATCTGGATGGATGCCACTGTGGCTGACTTAATGAAATGCAACACCGCAACATGAGCCCCAGATCATGAAGCCACACAATTGATATGGACAGAAAACCCTTCGCAAAGATTAAAATCTGTATATGTGATCAAATCAACCCGATAAGTGGTTTTAGCTGTGGAGATACTGAATGTGTGCTTCATGCAATATAGCATTGCTATTTATGAGTAATACACAGTAGTAGTTTAGCAATACTTTTCTGAATCCTGTACATCATGCATGATTACTGCAGCTGATAATTACCAACATTATCAATACTGAAATGTGTCTTTCTATCTCAGGATTAAACAGAAATGTATATCCTGGGGACCGGCCTGGCTTGATGAGAACTTACCAAAACTAGGAAACAGTAATGCCATCAGACTACTGAAGGTAATTAATTCACTGTTACCTATTTTTGTGTGAACTGCTGTCACCAAAAGAGCAACAACTCTGCAACTACACCAACAGGAACAATACAAGAATAGTTATATTTGATCAAAGACAACAACATTGTAGTATCTAGAGGTTTACCAGCCTGAACTATAGCAGTATGTGGTCCATCTCTACAATTCAACTTGTGCTTTCACACAAACTACATCACATCACATCAGTACAATCCTGGCTTCTCTCTATTGGCTTTCATAAAGTATTGATTTAAGATTTTATGGATCACTATTAAAGCACATCTGGGTCAGGCCCTAAGCTGTATAGCAGAAAGGTTTGACCCTATGTGAAGCAGCTCCGAAGTCAAAGTTTGAATTTAAAGGGGCCCTTTTTGGAGTTATATCATTCTTGTAGTGTGTGAAAAATCCCAATGTTCCCTTGTGAGGGAGTTTGTTTCCCACAGACATATCATTATTTAGTGGGAATGCTGATACAGCATTCCCACTATCTGTTATGCTATGCACGAAATTCTTTATTATTCCGCCGGGTTATTTTGCACCTCTTCTTCTCCCACATTCCACATCGCAGAAACTCTGTTCAAACATCAAAACGTTCAGCTCGGTCGGGAATCGATGGCTATTACTTTTCTTATTCATAACTTTCATAATTCCAGAGATACATCCCATAATTCATAAACTTTTCAACATGGAAGTCAATGGAGAAACTCTTCAGACTTGAACAATATTCATGCAACTTCAACTGCTAACTGCTCCTTCATACTTTCACTCAGAAACCTCATTCCAACTTTAAAATGTCACACATCTTTCTGACATTATTTGTGTAACAAAACTTCTAAATCTGATTTGTACTTTTAGAGATATTAAACATTGTTCAGACCTTGGTAAAGAGGCCTTCTTCAGATTTTAGAGTGCGTGATGTCACAGCTAGAGTGGAGGACAGATTTAATTTTGCCTTCATATTTTCTTTTAAACCTGCCATAATTCCCAAACCCTACATTCCTGAGACATCATTTTTCATGAGAAACGTAGGAAAACATCTCGTAGCTTTTAAAAAAAAAAAATTAAGCTAAATAATTAAACAAAATGCCTCTTGAGGGCATGAAGTGACAACAACTTTCAACATGTCGCCATTAAACCCCATTGTAAGTTCAGTCTCATCTTTCCCCACCACAGCAGCCACACACCTTTAGTTAATCTGCCAAAAAGGCCACATTATTAACCCGAAAGTACACAAAAAGCACACTTCAGATGCTCAAGTTCCTTGACATGCTTCACGCTTTGAAATTTCACCGATATCAACAAAACGTTCACGTAAGAGGTTTATCTCTCATTCAGAACAATGAAAATGCTCTCCTCTGCACCATCACCATGGAAACCTTTGATCTCTGGACACGTTGTTAGCTCAAATATAAACACCTGTGTCATGGAACACGATGATGTCATAACTCCAACTGACATGCTCAGAGCAGCAGACTTCAGATAATGGTTAACGGTCCAGCCCTCAACAGCTCTACATCAATTATGGGGTGTCATCATATGCCGTTTCCATGGAAACGCATCCCTCGCCATAAAAGACGATGTCGCTATAACTCCTATGAAAATGTTCAAAAAGTGCTCAAACTTCACATGTGTGCTAACAGTCCAGCCGTGAAGACATCTACGGGACAGTTTTGAGATTTCTTTATTGCCATGGCAACACAATGCTCACCATGAAACACGGTTTTCTTATAACTTCAGTGAAAATGCTCCAAATGGCTCAAAACTTCACAGGTTTGGTAACGATGCAGCCATCAACGCATCTAAGCGTATTATGGGATGTCATCAAATGCCGTTGGCATGGCGACAGATCATTCGCCATCAAGTTAGTTCAAAAGTTTGCAGTTCAAATATTCTGCTGCTTTTCCAAGCCTTTTTACTTTCTTTTCTTCTCTCATCACACATTCAAGCCCCCAGTGTTCATGTATCATTTCAATCTAAATTATTCACTTTCTTCTTACACATTACATTTCAGCATAGCAGTTTAGCGTCAACTTTTCAGCATAAAGCATTCCCACTAGCAATTTCTTCAGGAATTGCATTCTCTAGTTATTCATATTGTTGTAATTTTCTGCTTCACTCTGACAACGTGCCACTTGCTGCTTGAAATGAACCCCAGACATTTGATAACACACGCTTGTACAACATGATTGCAGTATATTCATCATTTAAAATCTTTCTATGGCTTTACTTTCGTTGTTGTTGTTTTCGTCACAGGAGTTTGGAAGTGAACCTTCCTTTTCCTCCACTCAAGACGACCCTCCGTTGTCGGCCATCAGTTTTATCTCCCACGAGGAGAGGGACGACGTGTATCCCACCATCCACGTCGAATCATCCCAGGATACATCAGGAGAACCCACAGAGGACACACCCTTGCTAATATCAGACCGCGGGACAATGCTTTTTGACAGCCAGCAGGAGCATGGCTACAAACCCCAGATTTCCACATTGACTCCACAACAAGAGGAGGTAAAGGAGACAGAGGAAGAGCAAAGGGCCATACCATCAAGTTTAGATGAAGACAGTTGTGTGTTTGAAGGATTACTTGGAGGCTTTCTGTCCAGAGTGGAGGTGGAGCCAACTGATCCACCTCTGGAGCTGAATCTCAGCTCAGTTGGTGCTCTTTTGTGGTCAAAAACTCCTGAAAAAACAAATGTCTTGAATGAAGGCTTTTTACTGGGGAGGAGGGGGACTGAGAACAATGTGGAAGGAGAGTCAACCCTTGATTTACAAGAAAGTGAAATGACTCCTCACACTACGGACACTTGTTTATCTCAGTCTACAGATGAGATAACCCTGACTGGTGGTTATTTCCCTCAAGGAGCTGCCGTGAGCAGCCCTGCACGCTGCGACACACTGTCATAGATATCAGGGCCAATGGGAACGACACACACAGGACAATCTGCACTACTTAACTGATTTTTAAGAAAGCATTATGTTCAAGCACCACTTTACTTGAAGTGAAGACAACTGTCCCTTTGTGTAATCATGTTTCAGGTGATCTGTAATGATGAGCGATGTACTTATATACTAACAAAGCACTTATACTAACAATGGACTGGCTTATCTAAAGCCAGTTCAGTAGCACTTGAAATGTTTTGGCTCTATGAAACCTGATGTACTTATATGATTCTGTTTTCTTCAAGTTTGTATCTTCTTGGTCGAATGCACTTATTGTAAGTCGCTTTGGATAAAAGCGTCAGCTAAATGTAATGTAATGAGCAGCTCTGTTCAAAACTAAGTAAATAAATGAATAAGAAAAGTTTATTTTATCAAGCCTCAATAGGAATCCATAAAACTTGCATTCCTCTAATGGCCAACAGGGGGCGACTCCACTGGTTGCAATATGAGGTCTGATTGTATAGAAGTCTATGAGAAAATTACAATATTTCTCCATTTATTTTTCATCTCAGTTGACCATTTAAAAAAAAAAAGTTGTTTTTCCTGACTTACTACAAAGACAGTACATAGTTAGCAATTATGAACGTTATTAAGTCTGCTATTTTAAGATATAATTGAATATGGTCTGGTTGCCCTGCCAAGTGCACTTTGCACAACCTAGCAACCAAAATGTGTTTTTTCAGCTGTACAATTAATACATTATTTATAAGTAATTAATAGAACCATGGTCACAGCATTTTGAACCGCATGTTACGTAAATACACAGCTGTAATTATAGAGATGTAACTCATCCTGCACATGTCACAATTAAGTCATACACAGCTGATCTCTATTTACTGCTGAACGTGTTTGTTTTATTTCAGTATTAAGGTGTGACCACTGTATGATTCTATTGTTAGCCATTGTTAATTATTCGACGCTGAAGTGACACTGAGTTTAACATTTCCAAAACACATCCAGACAAAAGTCAGTTGTAGGGTTTTCCTGTTACATATAATGGCTCAGTTTTGTGGTATTAAAATGTGCCCCTGAACCTTTCACATGTACCACCTGCAGTTAAACACCGTTTTTTTAACACTTCATGAGAGTTGTTTCACTTCCTTATTGAAAATGTAAAATTTCAGGGGTCTTTTGTTCACTAAGAGAAGTTTAAGAATTCAGGGGGCTGCATCTAAAAAATGATTCTCTCGTCCCTTTTTCTGATGTTTTGTGTGCAACACTGCAGTCGATACATTATTATAAACTAGTATTGTGCTTATACACCTTAAGGTTAAATGGTTAGTGCAGTTTTAAGGGAAAGTCCCCCAAATATATCATACAAAGATACGATGGAGAGAGTGAGAGACTTTGGGTGGCGTGGGAAATGTGATGATGAAAATGCATCTTGCAGGTTGTTGTGCTCAGCAGCTCCTCCTCTCACAGGTGTCAGACTCTACAAGTTATTATGAACATCAACCTGCAGACTTTCCTCATCAGGTCAGAATACAAATAAATCCTCTCAATCTTCCATGCGGGAATCAGGCATTTATGGGATTAAACCTGAATCCCCGTCTTCTTCATTTTGGTAGTGATTCATAAGGACAAATTTATAAGGAAGCTTTGAAAATACTGGTGAAAATCTAAAGACTACGTTATTTATTTCAATGTCCAGACGTTGTAAAATTGCAGTGCCAAGTGATGAAAGAAGTATTCAAGACATTTAAAGTCAAAGTAAATAAGAATTAGCAGTAAAATAATATACTTTAAGCATTAATAGTCAAAGTAATTTTGCAGTAAAATGTTCCCTGTCAGTGTTTTACTAAGACATGTGATGTTTTTAGATTATTAATGTGTGTGACGTTACTGCTGGAGTTGTTAAAGGCTTGTGGTGATGACCACTTGATCCTTCAGTTAATCTGAAATCACCCAATCTGTAGATTCATGGTTTTTACTGGACAGGAAGGGAATGAAGACATTGTGATCTGAAAAGTAAATAGCAACCAAAGCTGTTAGACAGGTAGCCTACATTATGTGCTTCAAATATGTAATTGAGTATATAGTTGCAATGACTGCAACATTACAATACAAGTACTAGTCAAGTTCAGGAGAGCTCTTTAGTAACCAGTGGTGTAAAGTATTTTTTCTCATGTACTGTACTGAACATTTGATAGACTTGTAATTGACTTTTGCTTCTTTGTTCCTTTACCCTATTACAATTCAAAGGTAATTAGTGTACTTTTACTGCACTACATTTATGTAATACTTTTAGTTACTGAGCAGATTTTGATTAATGATGTGAAATATAAACAACACTTAAATAAGACTTGAGTTACACCTGGAGTAAATTCACAAGCTATCCCACACGGTAATTAAAATTAGCTCCACCTTTACCAGCTTTGATAAACTTAAATGCATTAATAATTGTTATCAAATCATATGGTGTTCTACACAATGAGTACTTTTACTTTTGTTTCTTTAAGTATATTGTGATGCTAATACTTTTGTACTTTTACTTATGTAACATTTTGAAAGCAGGACTTTCCCTTAACAGAGTACTCCTACACTCTGTTACTTTTACTTTTACCTACAACATCTGAGTACTTCTTCCACCTGAGTACTTCTTCCACCTCTTTTCCACTATTGCTTTTACCTAACGATGAATCTCCTGAATCTGCACAGCCTTTGTGAGTCTAGTTTCCTTGGTGAAGTAGTGTGTGAATGATGTGTGTGAGTGAAGTGTGTGAGTGAAGTGTGTCACTACACACCAGAGGCAGCAGTCAGTCACCACGGAGTGTCTGCCGTTAGCTCACCACAGTTTGGACACTCTGCTCCGATGAAATATGTGAGGAAGACTTAATGATATGGCTTTGAAAGATGCTGAGATGTGATGTCTTGGTGAGTATGACTTTCTGTTTGATTACCGTCCGGCATTATTGACTGCATGCAGCTGCCATATGTGTCGCTATAGGGCTCTGTCTGAACTCTTTAATATGCTTTTAACTATATAAGCGCCAGAGACCATGATGATCATAAAGAAGCAAATGTATTTTACTGAGTAAAACATTGGATCATTACTATCAATCATTATTCCTCAGTAAATAACTTTAAAACTGTTATATCCTAAATCATGATTGACCTCATATATGTTGTGTGTTTTTTATGTTTTAAGGTAACTTAGCAGTCCTCGCGGCAATGTAAAAGACATAAAGATAGCAGTTAATGATGGCGACACTGTCCCACACATGGACCATCCTCACTGCTGTCACTGTGTTGACCGCGCATCTATGCGAGGGTAAATTCAGACTATTGTGCAAATCATTTTCTAACATTTCGTTTTCACGTAACATTTCAATGTACATTCTAAATATGTTTTGGAGATAAAAGCTATAAAAAACTAAGATCCTTTCTATAAAAAAACTTTAAATCATTTGTGTGTGTGTGTGTGTGTGTGTGTGTGTGTGTGTGTGTGTGTGTGTGTGTGTGTGTGTGTGTGTGTGTGTGTGTGTGTGTGTGTGTGTGTGTGTGTGTGGTGTGTGTGTGTGTGTGTGTGTGTGTGTGTGTGTGTGTGTGTGTGTGTGTGTGTGTGTGTGTGTGTGTGTGTGTGTTAATGTGTTTTGTAAGCTTTGCTTATGCATGAGGTTTATGGATATGTGTTTTGTGAAAGGCATATATGCAGAAATACTCTTCCTTATCTGTTCCAAATTCAACAAATCCATGATCAGTGGCACTGGCTTTATTAACTTCTCATCACTATATTTTATGAACATGAAGTTAATCAAAGTTAACATTTCTACTTTCAGTTAAGAAGTGCTGCAAGCTCGAGTCCAGTGCTGGAATTGATGTGCTGCTAGGCTCCAGTTTTAGGATTTACTGCACCAATTTAACGGTTCCCTGCAGAAAAAAATTCTACGGCCAAAATAACGCACCACTGCCCCCACAATTATTGAATTCTACAACTATATATTACGACGTGGTTAATATAACGGAGAAGAAAACATATAGCTGTAAGTGTCGTTCCTCTGGCTGTGACTCCTGTGGACAGGACTTCTCAACTGGATGTGAGTTAAAAAAAAAACAATAAGCAGGAAAAGTATCCCTTTCTGAAACAAGTTTAGTTTATTTGCAAATATGTACATATATGAAAAAAAGGGCAGAGGAGTTAAGAAGCCAAAAGGTCAATTAGGATACTTCCCCTATTAGAGGTTTTACCAGAAGCTTAGCCAATTTAGATGCATTACACTAAAATCCATAAGGAGATTTAAACAACTTTGCTTATTATAGTCTAATTTTCTTTTAATAACGATAATACTGTATACTGAATACATATTTGGGGAATGTCATGCTATTTTACCTCAAATGAAATGACTGATTATTATGATGATTTTACACATTTATACTTTATTCTTATTCAAAACTCTGTGAATTTACACAGAAATCCTGCAGGGAATGTGACCCTGCATGGGGTTTAGAGATGAGGCTTTCATATCTTAAGACATTACTGTAACTTTTCAAGCTACAAGAGCTGTTAAAAAAAGAGGTAGGGTTGGTTCTGCTTTTTCCTAAACTGTTCGCATTTTGCAAGCAAGGCGCAGCGAAGTGTTAAAGATTAAAATGTGATAAGTTCTGCCCACAGACCTGTTGCTAAATGAGGACTAAAAACAAGCATAGCAGTTGTCTTACACTAAACATGCACACAGTTATCAACATAAACACTCAAAATGTGTGTTCCTTCATGTACCACTGTTTTCAAATATAATATGACTTCCTTATTTGACAGTCCTACAGTAATGGGTTCATGTTCTATGCTCAACACTTAATTGTACGTCCTGTTTGTCCATCAGATCCACCAGAGTGCCCTAAAAACATTTCATGCACCTACAAAGTAAAGAATAGTGATAGTGGAGATGTGAACTGCAGTTGGGACAGAGGACGGGATACTTTTCTGAAGAATGATTTAACACTTGAGTGAGTTCAACTGATTTAGAAGTACAACAATAATATCATACTGGTGGATCTACAGTAAAATAAAATGTGGCTTTGTGTGTTTCAGGATGAGAATTTTATCAAAAAACCATACACATGCACCGATGCTGGACAGCTTCTCCAGTAAGGCAACTGATCGGTCTGCTAGCGTCCCTGTGCCCGGCTCCGTCCTGATGATCGCTGTGTGGGTCCAAGCCAAAAATGCATTGGGCTTTGCAGCTTCCATCCACAAGAACTACACACTGAGTGACATTAGTAAGACACCAGCATATTTTCATTCATACAGTCAAGTATTTGGAGAGGTTCTTGGCAACTTCTGCATAAATAGCGTGTTATTTCTCATGACAGTTCTAGTTGCTTTTAAGAGATAAAGACTCAATGATTGGAACTTAAAAGCTTATTTGAAGAGTAATATGTCCTTCTTTGATGCACTTACCTTCACCTTCTTTGAACTAGGCAATGTATTACTTCAGATTTTAAAGAAATCAAACGTTAAAAATGTTAAGGCTTTATTTACATTTTGTGTGAGTTTTCCATAAGTCTGTGCCAATATTCAAGTAGTGCAATCCTCATAAACGCGATAACTAAGTGGACTTTTTTTAACAAAGTCCACTTGGACTTAACAACTAATATGCTTATTATGACAATTTATAAATAGGATAAAATCCTGAAAAAATATATTTTGGACGGGAATAGATGTATCTGCAGCTTGACTGGTTTGCATAGGCATAAAAAAACGAGGCGCTAGCTCTGGTTCCGGACTTTTTATAGGACCTTTTACATAACCATTTTGCATAGTCTGACTAATCATGAGTTTTTATGTGATTAAATACTATGACATGTGTGTGTTAGTTGACGTCTGTTGCTGATGTACTGGTATTATAAGGCTGTCTTAATTTGTCTAATTTATCTGATCATTCTGTGTTAATCTGAGCAGAGATGCCATCGACTCCTGTTCTTCGCCAACCGGATTGCACTTCCCAAGAGTGCATCATCACAGTGGAGCAGCCTGTGATGACTCAGCACCTGGAGATCCAATACAGAGCGGACACACAGACATGGACATCTTCTCCAGACTCAGTAAGAAGTCTTATAACTGTTCAGATTAGAGCAGATTTTGAAAATGTACGGACTTTCAATAAGATGTTTGCTGAGAAAGATTTCTCAAACTCTTTGAAGACATAAAGTCACTGCATGCTGAGAACTCATAGCTCTTCTGCTAATTCAAAGCAAAATAAATATATGTGTCAGGTGGATGTGCACAAAGGTACAGTACACTTAATGTTGCCACATTTTTAAAAACAAACAACATTTGAATCTATTTGGTGTTTTTGCTGTGTGACCCTAAATGGTACTTCATGGCAGGGAGAAATCTTTATTGGAACATGGATGAGTGAGTTGATATCAATTACAATAAGATTAAAACCACATGTGTTTTGCTCACAGGGTGTGCAGATGAGATCAGTGCAGGTTGCCTCTCTGGAGCCTTACACGTTGTACCACTTCAGAGTGAGATCCAAATTCACCACCGGCCTGTGGAGTCTGTGGAGCGCTAGCATTTCCAACTGGACTGAAGAGGAAGGTAAGCAAAGCATTGGCAGAAGAAAACCTGTTTGCTTTCATTTATTGTGGAGTAAAGTTGATTTCACAATGTAATAATCAGGGTAGATTGTTTGCCTGTAAGCATCCCTTCACTATGCACTTCTGTCTGACACTTGGTACAATATCCTGGGAAATAGAAGGCTTGAGTTAAGGCACAAAGGAAGTACATCAACCATTGTGCAGTCAAAACAGGAAGAGGATAGCACTTTGGTTAGTGATCAAAGAGTATCAATGGGACTTATTTACAGTTATAATGCTCAGGAGCAGAAATTATGTGGAAACAATTGGTGGTTGCTAGGCTCTGAGGAAAACCGAAAGCGATCCGGTTGTCTTTTGCGACAGCAGCGCCCACAAATGTATCATTTAGAAACTTTTGGGGGTTAAAGTTGAAGTGGTCTGTTTTCACTACACTAACCTGCTGATTGATTTTGCACTTCCTGAATGAAAGAACCTCTGTTTCTGTCTGTGTGCAAGCAATTATATCTGAACGGAGTATTTACAGTCTCTCTGTGGCACTTTATCTATGAAAGCTATCAGATGATGTTTCCGTTTCTTTGGGTTTTTTTGAGGCAGTTATCACTGTCTGCAGGATACCTATAAGCCACTGAAACAGTCCTTATGGGTTTGTGTGTGTAGAGCAAAACCATTCATTATCGATAAGACAGTATGGGCGGTGGCTTACAGAAGTAGTTGAGTGTTTATCAGTTAAACATTGAGCAAGAGAAAAGGAAAGTGAAGTAACAATAAGGGGAGTGATGCTTCCTTGGAAATATCGTTTAACACTTGTAATACTGATGGTGTGAAGATATGAAGGTCTGATGTATGAGATATGAATGTGCAGCAGTGACAAGTCATCAGCTTTCTAACCGCTGCAGAAGTCGAGGTAGAAACAACTGCAGTTACATTTTTGGTAAAAGGTATTAACATTTTTCTTTGTTTAAGCATGCATTGAACAGATAATTACACTATATTGCTATTTTTCTTGATGTGCAATCATCTTACAGAGATTTAAAAAATAAAGAAGGAAGCTAATCTACTCCTCTAAACAATTACATTTATTGGGAAAGTAATAAAAGCATTTTCCCACAACTGTTTTATGTGTAACATTATAGAATAATCTATTGATATTTTACTTCAAATACCTTGTTTCCTTTACTCCTGGCCTAATGATAACCAGTGAGAAATCTCTTTGACACAAAATGGGCTTTGGGATTTGATGAAGGGGAGGTTACGTATTTTAAGACTCAATTATTAGACACCATTGAAGTTTAACTCCTACTTTAGCCTCCCATGAACATGCAGCTTTAAATCTCCAACAGCAGAATATGTAATAGATTAGTTTGAGGAGAGTTATCTAGATGTTCAATGTCATAGATGTTGTCTTAAAGAAGCCCTATGATGCTTTTTGCGGTTTCCCTTTCCTGTAGCATATAGTTTTTGTGTTTGTAAAGGCTCAAAATATAAATTTGAACTTGTAAACTACCAAAATAGGAGCCCTTTAAGCTATCTTCAAGTATTTGATTCTCTATTTTATACACTGTTGCCCATAAAGTTGGAATAATATATTGGTTACCTCTTCTCATGAAAAGATGTGTGTGTAAATAGGAATAAAAAGAGGAATGTTTCTGTAAACAAAATGATTCCAACTTTATGGGCAACAGTGTGTATAGATATGGAGGTTTCTTGGAAGTGTAATTCATTGTTGTCTGACTTCAGCTCACATAGGAAAATGTGACAGAGCTGCAAAGTTATAGTTGGGAACTTTTATAGAAGTCGTTGAGAAATCTTAATTGTCTAAACATGTCTTTAACTCTGCCATTGAAAAAAACAGTCGTTCGTAAATTCAAAGACTCAAATATTAACCTTTTTATGAATGCTTTTAGTTTTATGGTCCAGTGACAGATTGTTTTTTGTCTTTAGCTCCTGCCAAAGAGTTGGATGTGTGGTACGCTGAACCGGCCTCTGACTTTAGATCCCTGACAGTTTATTGGAAGGTATGTTTTACATCTTATTGAAGTAAGTTGATATGATTGTGAATGCACATGAACACTGCTGTACAGTTTCATGAGCTCCATCTCGTGCTTCGGGTCTGCGTGGGTGTCAGGTGTTGTTGCCATAGTAACACTTTGTAATCTTCCCGTACTTCCTGCACACACTAAAGGTCAACCCTTGACCACTGATGCGGTGACACCCTCACACCCTCACACACACACTTGCACATCCCCACTCTCAACCACATATGGACACACACACACACACACACACACATACACTCATTTAACATCACATGAAGACAATGAGAGATGAGTGAAACCTGACAGTTTCAGTTTACAAGAAAATAGGAGCTGAACAGAAATGATGTGCATGTCTGACATGCTCTCTTTGTGGTGATTTTGAGCCGTCAGTAAAGACTGGAAAATTCAAAGCACATGACCCTCATGTTGTTGTTACTTTTACTTTGTATGATATTAAATGTAATAACTCACTTCTAAACATCCTCTGACTGCAGGAGCTGAGCATTTCTGCTGCCAAAGGGAAAATCCTTTCATACAGAGTCCGAGTTTACAGCCCAAACTCTGGGCAGAACATCACTAACGTTAGCGCCGAAGCCAGGAGTTATTCGGTCCCTTTCTGTGCCGAATGTGAAGTGTCAGTGTGGGCTTGCAACTCCAAAGGGTCGTCCCCTCCAGCCATTATTACATCTGAATACACAAAAGGTAATAACAAAGGAATGCCTTGTATAAGTAATTATCCGCAAGAAGCCAGCCTCTTTTGGTGAACAGTGTTGTAAATATCAGACGCATCAGTAATACTGAGGCTGCATGTTTCTCTCTTTTAGTGAAGCTTGTGTAACTTCTGCTGTGCTTTATGTGTAAAATGATAGAATAATCAATTTTTTACTTTAAATACCTTTTCTCCTTTTCTCCTGGCCTAATGATAACCAGTGAGAAATCTCTTTGACACAAAATGGGCTTTGAGATTTGATGAAGGGGAGGTAAATATCAGATGCATCAGTAATACTGAGGCTGCATGTTTCTCTCTTTTAGTGAAGCTGAGGCATTTAGATCCCCTTCAAGATGTGCACAAAGTTGCAGACAACCTCAGTGTCACCCTCTCCTGGAGGAAGCCCTACGCTGCAGTGAGGCGGTCTGTGGTGGAGTGGTTCCCCAAGGGCCACACAATGGAGCTCAGATGGGTCGGACTGGGCCCTAATGAAAACCATGTTGTTATAACAGGTGGGTATTAGAGAGTTAAAGGAAATACTAGGTCTATACTGAATGTTGTGTGTTTCGTACATTCAAAGTGGTGTTTATTAATGAAGCTGTGAAGGTCTGTGTCAAGTTATCACATTTATGAGACTACTGAAAGGCGTTTTTACTACTATTGGGTCATATATTTTAACTTTGATAAATATCTCTCTCACCTGCGTTCCAGCCTTTTTTAAACACGCTGTAGTGCAGAATGATCAAGAACCTTGATCATTCTGTTCTCTCCAACTTTAGACCTATTTCTAAGCTTCCCTTCCTGTCTAAAGTCCTAGAGAAAGTGGTGTTAGCGCAACTGCAGTCGCACCTTGTTTTAAACTGCATATCAGAGAAGTTTCAGTCTGGTTTTAAATCACGCCATAGCACAGAAACTGCTCTCCAAAGAGTTTTTAATGATCTTATTTTAACTGCAGACTCTGGGAATTCTGCTGTGCTTGTGCTTTTAGATTTGTCTGCTGCTTTTGACGCCATTGACCACCAAATTATTTTATCACGCCTTGAACTGTGTGTTGGAATTAAAGGTAATGTCCTAAAATGGTTTCAATCATATCTGTCAGAAAGGACCTTTTCTGTGCATCTTGGCCAGTATTCTTCAGCTGTAGCCCCACTAGGATATGGGGTCCCTCAAGGTTCTCTCCTAGGCCCCATTCTGTTCAGTCTGTATTTACTACCTCTGGGGTCCATTTTTTAAAAGCACAACATTTCGTACCATTGCTTTGCAGATGATTTGCAGGTATACCTGCCTATAAAAGCAAATAAGGAATCTAGGATTGCCTTGCTTAGCTGTCTGAAAGACATACAATCATGGATGGAAATCAACGTCTTGACTCTCAACGAAAACAAGACAGAGATTTTAATATTTGGACAGTCTGAACCCCTGGATGGCTTTAATAGTGTACTCGGCCCCTTAGCGTCCTACAGCCGTCCCTCTGTCAGAAATCTTGGAGTCATCTTTGACAAATGTTTTAAATTTGACAAACAAATAAGCTCAGTTGTCAAGACAAGCTTCTTCCAGTTGCGGCTTCTGGGGAAGGTAAAAGCCTATCTTCCTAGTATTTATAACGTCTCGTTTAGACTATTGTAACTCCGTCGCCTGCAGCTGGTCCAAAAATGCGGCTGCACGCCTTCTTACTGGGAAGAGACGTTATGACCACATCACACCCGTTTTGGCAGATCTTCATTGGCTTCCTGTCAGTTACAGTTATGAAATCCTATGTTATGTTATAAATATTAAAATAAAGAACTAAATGAATAAATAAATAAATAAATAAATAGATAATTAAACAAAAGCCAGAGAGAAAAAGTGAGTTTTAAGTGTTGATTTAAAAAACCCCAGGGTCTGGGCCGACCTCACATGGAGGGGCAAAGTATTCGAGAGCCTAGTTATTGCCTGTACAGCACTTTGGTCAACTGAAGGTTGTTTTAAATGTGCTATATAAATAAATAAAGATTGAGATAAAGAATGAGATTATGACACTGAAAAAACCTCAGAGAAAAATCCTAAATTTGGAAATACCATATATGGGTAAAATAGTTGTTTTTAAATAATGAAACGTTTCAGTGTTAAAAAAAAATGTAAAGGCTAAATGCCAGCTCATATTGATAAAAGGAGTCTTTTTTTTTCAAAGATAAAACCTTGTTGTTAAATGTTGAAGCTTTTTCAAAAAATGCTGAAATTGTAACGCTCTGGAATTATTGGAGATATTTGGCTCAAACAAGTCAGAAACAAACACACAGCCTCCAATATAATCTAAATCTACAATTACTATTATACAAATATTAGTTCAGAATATATATAGCCTTTATTTGCAACTGTGAGAATTACAGGTGAAAAAAAAAGCAAGGAAATGAATGAAAAGGTTTCCAATATAAACATAACGTTATGAATGAGCTTTAAGCTACGCAGTACAGCCCCAGTAAACACTACTCTATGTCCTCCATTGTATTTTTCTCTGTTGCTATATCTATGTATTTCTTTACGCAGATGTTAAGCCATTTGAGTGCTACGAGGGAGCAGTGTATGTTTTCTATAATGAGAGCTCAGTGAGAAGGACCAGATTTACAGGGGTCACTACTCTGGAATCAGGTAAAGTCTAAGTGTTACATAAGTGCAGAAACATATCTGGCAGAAAAGAAAGCTAGTAACACGATGGTAACAGTTTTTTAAGTGTTTCTTTCTGCGTGTGTTTGCAGCCCCAGCAGCTGTTCCATCAGTCCAGGAGACGGTTGAGGGGAAGCAGGTGAGAGTGACCTGGGCAGAGATTCCCAGGGGTCAGCGCGGAGGTTGTCTCACAAACTACAACATCTATTTAGAGAACCAAGACAACCAAGAACACAGGAAGCATTGTAAGAACCATTTATCTGTACTGAGACACCTGGTACATTTAGGTGATGCGGTTTTGTTTTGTTTTTTTAAGCATTCTTTTTCATTCATTATTGTGGTTTTAACTATTTAAAGAAATAGCTACTGAATAAAATGAAAATAAAGTAAACAGATAACAAAGGTCCTGTCCTGAAAAGGTCCTGTCTGAATTTGGTTTCTACAATTTAATAAATGTAAAAAATGTAACATTATATTATAAGTGTGAACAGATAGTGGGAAACTATTTATAAAGCACTTTAAAACCTCCAGACCAAAGTGCTGTACAGTCAAATAACAAACAAAACAAAAATCACACACCATAAAACAAGTACAAGTAAAAACAATAGACAATTTAAAAGCAATAAAAGCAACAATCTAAAATATGTCAATACGCTAAGGAGAAGAGGTGGGTTTTAAGAAGCGATTTAAAGGCAGACAGTGTAGAGGCCTGTCTGATATGCATGGGCAGATAATTCCACAGTGTGGGATCATTTCTTCTCTCATCCAAATGTTAGCATGTAGTCTTTGATACAGCCAATCACATGTGTAACTTCCCTCTGCTGTGTGCATGTGAATGTGTGTTGCAGACTCCATACAGGCATCGCAGCGTGAGCACGTCATCAAGGACTTGTCTTCAGGCACCTACAAACTGTGTATGACAGCCTCCACCGCTAATGGAGAAGGACCTGCAGGGAAACCGATAACGTTCTTCATGCAGCGTAAGTTCCTTTACAAGTTTTATTTACAGGAAAATTGTGACCTTTTGGAGGCTATGCTTATTTGCTTTATTGCCTAGAGAGTAACATAAGAAGACGATCAATACTACTGTTTTGTCTGTACAGTAAATTAAAAGTTCAAGTCCTGGTTACAGTCACAATTCGAGAGCCACTATTATTCCAAGACGGGGGTTAAGAGAGGAAATTCAAATAATATGTGGTGCCCATGTGACCACACTAAAGGAATGCAGTAAGTGGAAACCTAATGGCATGCTTGAACACAATTGCAAAACATAAACACCATTCATTAATGAGACCACATGCCGCAACAAAAATATTGTATAATGTCCTCCCTTCAAAATGCAACAATAGAAAAAGCAATATAAATCAGGATGAAACAATTCTTTGCAAACAAAATCCTTAAGGAATCAGCACTCACCACAAAAACAATCTAGCCAAATCTTTGTTGTCCCAAGTACTCACTGGTTTCGCTGTGGTTTATTTTCCAAGGAAGGGCTTCCTAAGTCCAACCTAACTTCTTCGTCTCTCCTCACAAACAAAACCAATCATTTTCTCCCCAAACAGCGTCACCATGGCAACACTTTTACCATTAAACCCTCTATTGTTTGCTGTAGTACAGATAAGCAGCATGGTAAAAACACAGATGGACAGCGTAAACTATAGTGTGACAAGTGGAGATTTAGAAATCATAAAGATATGCTTATATACTTATAGATATAAAGAATATAGCAGTGTAATTTTGACCAACTCTTGTAGTTTAAGCAGTTTGGTGAATTGTACGTGTTGTTTCCCAGCTATTACTTAGTCGTTGCCTTTTTTTCATCACTAATGACGACTGAATTTAGACAGCTGTCGATTCTTTAACTGACTGTACCATATAAGCGAATTGTATGTACTGCAATCTTACTTCTCCCTGTTTCACTGTTGCAGAGGAGAGCCAACTCTCCCCTCTACTGGTGTGTGCAGTGGCCGCCCCGATCGTAGTAGTCCTGGTGTGTCTGTACCACAGCTCAGCAGTCAAGCAGAGGTATGTGAGCAACAGCAGCTCTAAAGGGATATTTCTAAGCGATTTTGCAGAAAATACACAATGGTTGTCATAAATGATAAATACAAAAATCAATGATGAAGCTATAAAAAGAATAATTGAATATATGCCATTACATTTTCCATGCCATATTGTTCTCCACCCTCTCTCTTTAGGTTTTGGGTGTATTTCCAGTGCCTCATGCTCGACGTTGTGCCAGATCCTGCTAACAGCAAGTGGGCAAAAGAGTGTATTCAGGATAAGGTAAATATTTAGAAGTGGAAAAAACACGCAATACTATAACAAGCCAGAGGTGTTAAGTAACTTAGTTCATTTACATGTACTTCAGATGAGTATTTCCATTTGCTGCTACTTTGTACTTCTACCCTACTCCAATTCAAAGGTTAATAGTGTACTTTTACTTCCACTTTCAATACCCTAGCTACTTTTCCATTGTGATGAGTGATTTGAATTATAATCAACACTTAAATAAGACTTAAGGTACACCTGAAGTAACATTCATAAGCTACCATCAGCATGAAGTGATTCAAACTTTTACTTGTAACAGAGTATTCCTACTCTCTGCTAGTTCTACTTTTTTTTTAAAATATATTTTGTAATATTTTATTGAGCATTAAAAGTACAAAATATACAATTATAGAGTAAGAAAGGGACAGAAACAAAATGCTCACCTTCAGTTTTCTATTTTAAACTTCCTCCCCCATCCCCAGCCCACCTCGACTGCTAGTTCTACTTCTAGCAAGTACACAATCTGAGTATTTCGCCCACCTCTGTAAAAAGCTGATCATTGTTCATAGTTTAAGCCTCTTTCTCCCTTCAAAACAGGGCAAGATGAACCTCCAGCTGCAGCTGAGTAACTCCAGTGGAGCAGAGGAGGAAGAGGAGCCCATCCTGGTGGACGTGGAGGAGCTTCCTCATCCCACCAGCCTGAGTCCTGAGACAGAGACGGTCACAGTCCTCTACCCTCGGACCACCTACATCAAGAGCTTCTCCCACGACTCAGACAGCTCCGACCTGCGGCAGACGTCCATGGACACCAACAGCACCGTCGACTACATCTCATCACACGGAGTGGGAATAATGGATGAGGAGGAGGAGGAAGAGGAGGAGGAGGAAGAGGAAATGCTGGGTTTCTTCCCCAGTCACAACATCTTCATCGAGCCGCTGGAGTTTGGAGGGAAGTTGACTCTGAATGCGGTCAAAATCGACTGCGGTGACTTATTTCCGAACAGTGCGTTTTGACCTGAAACCAAAACTCTTTGGTGAGATGAGTGAAAGCCATCTTTAGAGGAAGAGGATGGCTACACAAAAAGACATTGGTCACAATGACCGGAGCTGGTGACCAGGTTCCTCTTTATTTCTGTTCCGTGTCTTTGTTGTTACACATCTTGTTGTGATGTGCATGAACACTTGCTTGTTGAAATCAGAAGAAACCGTCAATAGTCTTTCATTATGTTTCAGCAGTAATACTTTTTATTTTCATTTTGTGCATTACCATGGATTTGTCTTAAGAGCTTTGAACACACCAACACTTGCGAGTGTAACAATCCATCGATCTGGATCCATATACTGTATAATAACTCACTGATTTACAATACAAAATATGCATAACTGAGTTTACACCGGTTGAGGAATTTCAGAGCATTGCCTGTTTTTCTCTCGCCGCCTGATGTATTTGTTCCTAGTGTTAATAAATATGGTAAAATGGCAGTGATAATCTTAAATTAATATTAAGAATATGAATGATATTTTGTGTTTGATATAAATAATCTGGTTCTGATAAATGATAAAATAGTGCCTTGTGCTTTTGTCTTTACTCCCCTTCTTGATGTTTCCCAGCATTTGAATTTCCCAAATTCCTCTGACCCAATCACCCCAAAGCCATACCAAATATGACAAACCTCCTTTTATTTAGTGGACTTTCTATTTAATAAGAATTTGAATAAGAACTACTTCCCCTTCTGAAGCAGTAGGTCAGTGTGTTTGATTTCTACAGTGAGTTTACCATCTCAGTCTGTTCTTGGGAATCAAACTTTCCCTTCCAGTCCGCTAGTCATGGGTTAATAAAAGAAAATAACAAAATGTCTACTATACAAAAATCTAACTGTAGTCCTTTTTGTTCCTCACCTAGATCTGTGTAAAGACAAGTAACACTCCTGCATGCCCACTCAAACACAATTTTCAAACATCACAAACTAGTGTATGTAATCTGCCCGTATGAGTCCTGTTCTCTTGTGAATAATGTTTTAAAGCCAGTGATGCCTGGTATCTGACAAAACAAACAGAAGTGTCTTTTTTTTCCTTTCTCGTATCAACACCCTCCGATAGTTGACCTGCAGTAAGCAGAGCTGCCAGTAAAGAGCCAATACAAACTAGTGACATTCAAAGGGAACAAGACTTGCCTGGACAGCAGGAAGTGAATGCTACATGAGTAGTGGGTTAGGTCTTGTGTCAATCAAATTAAGTGCTTTCTGGAGCTATACGAAATCTAGGAGATGGTAAGAATCATTATCGTGGGTGAGGTTGGGCAGTCCTAAACCGGGCAGGATTTGTCATTAGACTGGGGTGAAGGAGGAGGGATGGGAGGTCGGGACTAACACTTCTCTCTTTGGGAACACCACCGGCTTGGCCTTGTAAATGTCCAATGAGAGCTTAAGATGCTCATCATTTCACACAGGTTTTGAAGACAATAGAAAACTATGCAAATCAAAAAGAAAAATGGCAGTCCTGCTATTTTTGGTTTTAAATGAAAAACAAAGAACAGTGACTGGGTCTACTGGTTTACAGGCTACAAGAAGGAACTACGACATAAGAGTGAGAGATACGTTTAATGTGTTTGTATAGTAGTAAAGTGTGCTTGTAAGCCCAATCAAAAAAGGTAAGTACTGTACAGTGTTTGCATGTTTGAGGCAGGATTAAATGAGTGACAATGCAAAAGATTTACCGACCATCTTTATTTACCGACAGAGGTCTCTAATAGCAGGGCTAGAATTCACACATTTGTAGAGCACTTCAGTTGTTCCACACAATGAACGACTGTATTTCTTTCAGAGCAATTATGCAGTGGTGCCACAGTGGAAGCTACAGGGCAAGTCAACAGTGGAGGAAAAGATATGCACAGTACAGGCTGCAAAAACAAACTGAAACTGGGCTGAGGGATGCTTGGAGTGGAGTGTGTAAACAGTCGGACAAGGTCTGAAGGCTTCCAGAAGACTACAGCCGCGTCTCAACTGTGTAAAGACACTTCCTCTACGTATCACTCTTTAAAGTAAAACAAAAAGGCATTCATTGACTTGCACATGGCTGTAACCAAAGATGAAATGGGCAGGTAGGAACAGATATTAAGATGGTGACTAGTGCCCCGAATACCTCCGAAATCGGAAAGCATGGAATAACTTTGGGCTTCAAATTGATCCGTCTGACAAACATCTCAGGATCAATGCAAATTTGGGAGAGTAATCAGCAATGTGTTCCTCAAAAATGACCAAATATTCCTCCATTAGAACATCAGTACAAAAGAACCTTAATACAGATTTAGGCGTCATTTCCTCGATGCAATCAAATGTGGGCAGCAACGCTCGATCAAAGATCAAGGTGTGTCCTGTTTGCACCGTATGAAAATAGTCAAGATTTACAGGTCAAAGATCATAGAAGAATAGACCTCCTGTATAAAATATAAAACAATATCCCAGTGCTAAAGAAAAAAAAACTCATATCCGTGAAGCTCTAACTTCATCAGAAAGACTTGGTGTGGCAGAGCTTATGAGCTTGGGTTGGAGCCCTACAGTGCCTATTTTAAAGCGAGCAAGCGATGGCTCACACCAAGCGAAAAACACCCTTCTTATGCTTACATTTCGAAATTCATATATTCAAGCAGCAATTACAAATATTCATCAATGGACAATGCATAACCTCTGAAAAAAATACTGTATGAAAACATCCCTGCTACTTTGTTTCCAAGTACAAAACCTCTACCAATAAGTTGCTCCAGAGTAGCAAGAAGTCCTTTTCTTTTTTTGTTTTTTTTTTGTTAATTTCTGTTTTTTTTTCCATCTTCGTTTTGTTTTTATTGGGTAAAACTCAGTCCTCACTTTGAGTGCCATAGTTAATGACAGTCTTCTCCATCATTTTACTTTGCTGAAGGATCCAGGAACATGCAAGCCTCGTAGTGGAGGTGCTCAGGGGGCTCCTGTGGGCCTGAGGGGCCGCAGCCGGACTTAAGCCAGAGCTGGGAAGGCTTCTGGGTCGTCCACGTTGGGCACAGACGCAGATGACTGAGGAAAAGCAAACAAAACAAAAGTTAGAAAATTGAAACATTTAAAGATGTGCCTCAAGAGTATGAAGGGGATGAGAGGAGTTTCAGGTAGTGGGCTGTCTGATCAAATTCAAAATGACTCAATTTTAGTTTTGTTGGCAACTTTATCTTTTAATCTTACATAAACTAAACACACAATGCATTTTTAATGGAGGTACTTTAGGTGCTAATGACATGTCAGACCAGCTGAGAGCTAGAAGGTTATCTACCTTGTCAGTCCGTCCTCCGCGGATTGGCCTGGGGGCCTCGGCTCCAGGAGGGGGAGGGCCGGGGGGTCCGCCGGGGCCACCGCGTCCACGACCGCCCCGACCACCACCACCACCACCACGTGGTCCACCGCGTCCGCGGCTTGGGCGTCCCAGATCTCCGAAATTGATCTCCAGCTGGGACGTGATGTCATTGGCTGGCTTCCGGAAGTGGTGCTCATCATCGAGCTGAATTAGAAAACAAGTGAAAAGACAATTTATGACTTAAATATTTTGTAGGTTTAAAGGTTTTGTTTATTTTGTTCGCATTTGATTAGCAATCAGATACTGGACGAAAGATTTTACCTTGAGCTCCTCAATTTCAGGGTCAATAACCTCCTCTTTCTTTTCCTGTGATGGAGAAAAGAAACACATTAACAAATCTAACGGGTCATAATCATAAATCAAGAACAATGTCAAATTCCCCATACATTTTCTGCACAACATCGCTGTTAAGTACACTTGAGCAAACCAAAAAAGGTCAAATCAAGTTACGCCAAGTTCTGTGGTATGATGGAAGCATGGGGCTATAAACGAGCTTAGTTTATCAGTTAATCGAGTGATGCTCCTGCAAAGTCTGAACACTTGGTGTATCATGATATAGCATTTATTAATAAATAAAGTCTCTATGAAATGACTACATCGTAGAGCCTGTTTTTCTATTCTGATGTCTTGTTGCATTATTAAAAACAAACTGTCTCAGTCTACTTAACTCAACAGCAAAATGTAATGTGACATATTGTGTTGAGAATGAGCAGAGGGGGTTTGACTCACTTCTGCCTTGGACTTGTGCAGCACGAAGCCTTTGTTCCAATCAGCGCCCTCGTTGGCCTTGCGGATGTTGAACTCCACCTTGGCTCGCTCTTTGTCCTGCACGGCTTTCCATTCGTCCAGAGTCATCTCCTTGGGGCCTTCTTCCTTCACTTCCTCAACCTCATTCTCCCTTCAACACAAACAGACGCACAGTGTCACAGCGTTAATGTCTAATACAAGTCAGGGTTGGTGGATTGCTTGGAACACAAGTAGTGTTGAAATGTATCTCATGAAAACTTTTACCAATTACAGTAAAACTACAACAAAACCAAGAACTTACTTGTTCTCAGAGTCAGCAGGTGGATGTTCCTCGCCTTCAGGGTTCTCCTCAGTAACGTTTGATTGGTCGAGCTCGCTGTGAAGGAAAACAAATGTCATACGGTTTAGTACTGAGAATGGAAGTACTATAAATTACTTTTTTGTGCTCAACTGGATCCTTCTTGCAATCTTCATGTATGATGTGTCATAATATAATCAATGTTTAACTAAAACCATTATAATATTCTGAGTTTGGACTGGTGGCAGGAGAACTACCCATTCACTTTTGAGTGGAACAAAACTAAAACAAATGTCCCCATGGGATTATCAAAATAAAGTATTTTAATCAATTACTTATAAGTAAATAGTATCTTTTACTTTTTAGCTTTTTAGAGTGTTTATTTTCCCATTAAAATAATTGTTGAAAGGATAATTTGCCTCTCCAAATACAACAACTACAAACACTGTCAGGTTTTGTAGGTTTGTCTAAAACAGACATGACAGAATGAACAACTATATTTCTGCAGGTGCTCACTCAGGAAGTGTTATGGTTGCTGATTATGTTGTGTGCGTAACAACTTACTTAACATCATCCTTGACGGTGCCCCAGTTGTGAGATCCACTTCCTCCGCGCTTCTCCTCACCTTTCAGACTACTGAGAGAAAATGAGCTTTAGCCAGGGTCGTGACACATTTCCTGCATGCTTTCACACAACCTCTTTAACAAACATGTTTTAAGGGGGTTATATCTAAGAGTGGGTAGATCTAAAAGTACCTAGTTCGGTCACTGCCACTGTGTCGGTCAAATTCACGTTTTCCTCGGGAGTCAAAGCCATCGGTGCGACCCATGCCTCTGCCTCTGCTGCCGCCACCACGGGGGACCCCTCTTGGTCCGCCGCCGCGTCCTCGCATCGGCCGATCACCAATGGGTCTAAGAAGAACAGACATGGTCAAAATTAAAACAAGCACAGGTTTCTCAACCCAATTGAAGTTAAATCTATGCAGGGTCATTCACAGGCTTCCTTTTCATCCTATAAGTATCACAGTGGACAAAGAATGACAGCAGGAAACCTAAATGCATTCAACAGGTGCTATTGACAGTTGGTTAGGATAAGTCCGCCTAAAACTTGATCTTGGCCTTTAACTTCCCCTGGGCTGACTGATGTTTAA